TGTGCGTAGCAGCAAATGGCGAATTGGCACTCAGATCTGGGGAAGATTGAGGGCGAACCTGGCGGTCAAAGTGTCGATGCCCATCCATACGAAGGTGGTGCTTGGGCGTGTGACTGGCAACCGTGCGCGATCCATCCATCCATCCACGGCGAACAAGAGGGCGAAAGGGAAAGCCAGTCAGGCAGGCGACCGTGTGCCCGATTCTTGGTCGCGACGCTTATGATGGCGTGCGAGGTGCATTGCAGGAAAAACCGCCAATTTTGTACCGCTCGCCTGCCTGCCGCCACCCCATCTTGTAAGCTGTCTGTCTTGCTGTTATGTGTGCGTGGGTGTGTCTCGTCTCATCTCATCTGTCGTGGCCGGGATGTGGGAGAGAGAGTTCGGACGAATTAGCACAGAGACGACGGCTCAGGGACAAGACAAGACAAAAAGAAAGAAAGAAAAAAAAAAAAGGAAGTTCCAGGCTAGATGTAGATCATAAACATGAGGAAACCAAAAAACACTTGACATCATTGGGGGAGCCGCGGGGAGCAGCTCGTGCCTCACAAATGCCAGGATCTTTTCCCTGGAGGAGCAGCCCGATGGACCCTTGTTTGGGATCGCCCCCAGGAAGCGAGCGAGCCAGTTCCAGTGAGCACAGTCCACAAAAGACTGTGCGCTGCGCGCCAACGGCTCCCTGCCCAGCTGGGCGGTCCTTGGGCGTTGTCAACTGACCTGACCAGAATCGTCGCCAAAACAACGCTAGCAATATAAAGAAAGTTTTCATTCCTTCCTTTTTCTGCTGTTGTTTCGTCTAACTGTGCCGCTTGTCGTCCCGAGGTACTCTCCTTATTTTTTCTTCTTCTTCTTCGTTTGGTTTCGTTTCTTTCTTCTGGGTTTTGGTTTCTGGGGCATGCAAGCTTTTTCTTTTTTTGTTCCGAGTTGAGGTGAACCGAGCACACCTCCATACAGGCCACCCACACACACGCTTCGGCTGAGCTGCTTGCAGCGCCCCGTGCTGCTGCTTCTGGTGTGAGGCGCGCCCAGCGCGGTGCGCAATAGCAACACCGACAAACACCACCAAACAACCAAACACCAAATGGCTTCAGCCGCCACGGTGACGGTCTTGTCGACCGTCACCGCGTCGACGTCGTCGGCCACGCGTGCCGCGACCT